AAAAAGACAATGAAATTTTAACATTCCTGTTGGTAGGTTGTAACATGGTCGCATGGCCCTAATCAACATGCAAATAAAGTATATTATTTGTTCAATGGTTATATTTATATCTTCTCTCACCAATCATACAAATGAGGATCTCATTGATTTTATGTACATTGTACGCTTCACGATTCATCGCGTTATATGGCTGTTCCCTTCAGCCATTGGAGTCTCAGTTTTTCAGACATGTTCTCGTACTCTAATCTTTTCACAGATGATTGGAAATCTTCAGTAGCTTTTTCACGATCAGCGTTTACTCTACCGGCAACGTGAACGTTTCCATATTCGTCCACGTGATATTCCGTTGATTCGTCGAATTTTGTCAGCTGGTCGGGTGTCTTCACTGGAAAGATTTCTACTAAATGTTTTATATTCCAAATCATTCTGCATACTTCCGGAGTATTCTTCACAAATATCGGACCACGGGTCTGCAGAAACAGTTCTGATTAGTATACGTAAGGAGATCATTGCCAGACTTGGATTTATAATTGCTTACCTCCTCCAGTTTCAATTTTGTAAGGATCCCTTTCTCCCACCAAGGATTGCCTTTGAAAGATGAGGTTCTGCGAATCATCAGAACCTTTGACGGTGTGATCGGTGGATCGACATGATCCGGGTGACTGCAATAGAAACATTTATAGCATCGAACAAACGTGATAACAACCCAAAGATATTCTGCTTCTCTCACCGTTTGTAATAGGTGATGTATCCGTACTTGGCAGCATCTTTTGCCCAATGCTTTGACGTGTGTCGATGGCGTACGAATGTTAACAAAACGTTCACTCGATTTGCCATTTGTTTCCAAGTCGTGTTAAACAATATTTACTGTGTCGAACGAGGTTATGCGATTAAAGGAGGTTATGGCACCTCTCCCTTTGTAAATCAATCGTTTCAACAGCAGTTACAACAACTTTATAACGATTATTTATATATCTCCTATAAACAGAAAAAATCACTTATTAAAACACTATTAAATTTATAAAAACTTTTAGATTATCGCTACTACTTCGACGATACCGATCAACAATAAATTCTTGTTGTCACCTTCGTAAGACGTAGTCTAAAATGCGGCAAGAATCATTTGTTCCACTCTACTGTTCCTCTACGTTGGCGCCATCAGCGACAAAATGTTCAAACTGGTAGACGAATTGTTGGTAAGCGAAAGTAAATTAATAGAATCTTCCAGTAGATAATAAAACAATATAATTTCTTTCACAAATTTGCATATACAAATCCTCGATATGCGCTTCAACGATTGTTCATTAATACTTAATTGGTAACGTTCTGCAAGGAGCTAGAATAAGATTAGTTTTCTCCCGCGTAATTAGATGGCGCTTTTAGTTCCCACTTTCTCCACGGATGACGCGACCAGTCTAAATAACGGTTTTTTTTTTCATTGAACAAGAAACCCGTGCATAAGTAAGTGCTGAAGGATAAATGTAAGCAAGTGCACGTTTTACATAATGTTCCCGCAAATAAGGGTACGTATAAACGCACATCAATTAGACTACTAATCTCGTGCTACCGAAAGCATGTAATTACGTATAAATTAACGCAAATATGCGGAAGAACTTCAATCATAAATACAGGAAAATTAACCCTCCAATTTTTCTTCATGATTACAACAAAATCTACGCAGTACGAGAGTAATGAATATTCACATACGAATACTAATTAACAACGTATTCGATAGCTTCAATTTACAAATAATTTAAATTAAACGAATAGATTTCGTAACTTTCAAGTTACAATGGCGTGAAGTTCAAGTCAACTGATTACTTAACACGTTGACCGCAGCACGAGTTGAAAATACACAAAATGGTAAAGATACAATATTAAATCATTCGATAGAATCGTCATGATTGTTGCGCTTATCTCAATGTCGTCGCATTAGCATTGTTTGCAATATACAAAGGTTTTCAAATAATCGTCGTTTAATCGAATGGATTATACAATTCGCTTTGGTTGTGGGTCACCGGTGATCCCCATGGCATTCAACGTGTTAACCCTTTGCACTCGTCAGGTGACTCTCAGTCACCACTTTATTTGATACAGCAAAACCATGAAGTTGAATATTTAGTATTTTAAATGAAACTTTGTATTGCTATGTGAAACATTTCAATAAAATAACTTTATTGCTTAATTTATCTGTGAATCATTGTCAAAATCAGTTTCAAACAATGCCGACTGTATCTCGTCGGAAAATGATGAATAGTTCCAGTGAAAAGCTTTGGAGTGCAAAGGGTTAATACTATTCACCACTTGTCGTGCAAAATGAAATAAATCAACAGGATGCCAATATGTTGACATGTGACTCGAAAGTTACATTGGCGTACAGAGTGTTCTGATTGGTTAGAAATACTGCCACCAATCTGAGCTATTTCTGCCTCGGAACCGTAAGGTCGATCCACGGTTCGAAATATGGAAGACACGCGATCGTTAAAAATACAAAAGGTTCCGAAATGAAAACATTAAAGTCGTGTACCGGAGCGTGGCGCTCGAATTTCGTTTATCTTGAAGTCCGTCGACATCGCGTATTCAAATATTCGTTCCGCTCCTGACCCGGCTGGGAGCGTGCAATTCAGCAACCCCTTCGCGTTCGCAGATTGCCTCGAAATACAGTGGATTCCTACGGGCTGCACGTTCCCAGGCATCTCGTTCCGGCGAACAATTTTCAAATACCGCATTGTCGTGTTTAGGAAAACACCGACGCGCGTCCACGGCCGTTGACGCATTTGCGTCACGTAATTCGAGAAGATTAATCGGGAACTCCTAGAGAGCTGTCGCGACGATATCTCGATCCGCGATACCGTTACGTTCCATGGTACCGTATCTAATTAAATACGGTCGTGAAAAAATGTCCTTCCAGCGGGGAAAAATTGCCGACAAGTTTTCCAATGCGGGGATATCAAAGCCGAGCCGAGAGTACGCCGCGAGAACGCGGAGACCGAACCGTTCGGGGTAGTTGCATTCGATTCCATTCGTTGCGCCGCGTCTCCCTTCGCGGGATTTTCAATGGAAGTTTATTCTCGCGGAAATGATATCCGCGTTATGGCTGGGAATAGCGGAAGAAAGGAGAGGAAGAGGGAAACATAATCGACCGCGAGCCAAAAGGAAAATCCACGCGCCCCGGCTCGTGTTCCGCGAAACTTTCCAGCGTGGCGACGCGCACCGCGACGAAATTTCCTCGGCAGTCTCCGTCGGCGGTTTTCTCGGCGAAACTTCCCCGGTTGCATATTTCGACGCGCTCCCCGGCTGAAATAATGGATCGTCCCATCGTCGGGCACCGTCGAACCGCGTTCGGCCGTCGTGAAAAATTGCTTCGAGCCTGCAACGCGAAGCGTCCATCCCTTCCACCCCTTTCCCCGTCGCACCCGTCGCTTTATCCCCGCATTCCGATTTAATGGAAATACGCGCGGTGTAACCGGCAACCGGAAACAGAATATATTCCCGTCGATCCCGTTGCATTCGTCTACGGCCACCGAGAAACGGGAGACGTCCGATATCCGCGGCCCAACCCATCGCGCCGCGTCGCATCGGTTGAAATTGATTTTCAATTTTCTCTCATGAAGCTCGCGCTAGAGCGTCGCGCCCGTAAATTCATTAAAAAATATAATCACGTCGGTTTCGCCCGGCCGCCCGGTCGCCGGTTCGATTCCGAACGCCGCGCCGCGCCCCGCCGCGCCGGGAGAACGCGATTTTTTCCCTTTTCCATTTCTAGCCGGCGCGGCTAGACGGACGATTTTTATCAAGCTTATCTCGCCACGAGCGCTCGTATATTCCGCGCGCCCGGGAAATTCGCCGCGTTTCCCTCTCTCATCGGAGACGGCTCCTTACACGCGCGTTTCTTTCGCCGGCTCGGCGTGCACCCGCTCGCGAATCCTGCTCCCGTTTCGAATATTCTTTTTTCCTTTTTTTTCCCCTTCCCTCCGTTGAACGCGCAGCGTCTGCTGGAGGCGGAGGCGGAATTTCCATCGCACGAGGGACGAGTGTAATTCAATCGGAGCTAATGGACCGTGAGCGAAGCACCATCGGTAATCTCGTTTCGGTGTCTATTGTGGGCTACATTGTGCTCCCGCACGCTGCATCGGCGCGCTCCCGCGGCCGCCACGACGGCTTAGAAAACTAATTGATCGGCTATATCGGCTCGCGGCGCGCAATTAACGTCGCGAGTACCGATCGCCAGAAAATTTCTGGTCTCCGTCTGGTCTGCAGCTCGCGGCGACGGTACGCCGAGTCCGCCGACCAAATACGAGCACAATCGAAAGCCAGTTTTTGCGGTTCCGCGTCGATCACGCGATTTATGGTCCTAGAGGACCGACCAAACGCGCGACTAACTTTTCAAATCAGTCTAGCCGAGCGAAAGAGACTTCCTTCGCACGACGCGGGCTCGATTGTTTCGAGTAAGTAGAGAAAGTCGACTTTTTTACATCGCGTGGGTAATGATCGCTGATTCCCAACGGAAGGAACATTTATTGCCACGCTATCATTTATCGAAGCGTCGAAATCTAACCTTCATTTCCACCTAAACTAGGTCTAGTCTCTCAGAAGACGCAGGAAGAGATTCTCCGCGAGAATCACAACGAATCGTTCGAAGAGCCGCGAAACTCGCCGATTCAGTTTCGCGCGGCTCGTTCGTGGCAGCTCGCGATGCGTTCGGGTATCCGCGAGGATTTGTGCGAAAACTCCTGCCGCCCGAAAAACTTTCCGTAATATATGTATCCGCGATAGATGCCCTGCCTCCCAGGAGTTACGGCTACGTAGGTACTTACTCTGTCCGGGAATAATCGTATTTCTTGGTCGGTTCAGGGACGTTTCTCGCGCGCATCGAGCGGAATTCGCGACCTGCGATCGAGAAGAATGGTCCTCCGCGACGGTTATCCTCCGGCCGATCGATTCATCCGATAATTAAAAGTTGCGCCGTCCTTTCGAGCGAACTGGCGACCCCTCGTCCCGAGCTAGAGCTGAAAAGTTGATTGCAACTTGTTCTTTCGCTGTTTAGGAAGCGGAGGGAAGCGGGTTACTCGAGAACTCGTAGAGTTACCTCGCGTTCCTCTTCCCCGGGGAGCGGACCGCTCTTTCGCGGGAAGATTCTCAGCGAGGAGCTCGCAACTCCGTCTGGCTCCGTCAAGTTCAGCGTACCGAAGCTGTTCGTCGCCGCGCGCGGCTCGCGGTTCCCGGCTCGTATATAACGAGCAACAGCCGAATCGAATCGCGTCTCCGGCGTACTCTAATTTATCGTGTCGTCCGCGATTTACGGTCCAGCCCCGCTGTCCCGTCACGCGATATTCAAATTTCCCCGACGAGAGTTTTAACGAAGTCCCGCGGAAGCGGGGGCCGCCGCCGCCGCCGCCGCCGTTCGTTTCCATCGGAATAAATGGCCGGCTTAACCGAAGCGGCTTAAACTTTTCCCGCAGGCTCGCTCCGGGACACCGCGAATTTTAATCGCGCGAATCGCGCGGCAACTTCCTCGCCTACGAACTTCCAGCCACCTCGAGAGCGCGCCTCGACCCGGCGACCCTTCGAATACATTATCTTCTCGCGCCGCGGCGCATCGGCTCCGCCGTCCGAACCTAATTAGCTCGAATTAATCGCGACTCGGGGGGATCTTCTTTCCGGCGAGGAGAAATTAAAGGCGGCCCTCTTCGGGGAAAAGTTTCCCTCGGCGGATCTAATAAGAGCTTTCCTCTGGCTACCGGCGCGTTCAATCCTCGCGACAACGTTTCCGATGGGTTCTCCATCTGTTTGATTTCCTTCGAGTCGAACGGCTCCGCGAATTTCCTCCGCGAGCCGAACCGCTGCTAACGGAAGAACCCCGTTTCCGTGATGCTCCTTTTTACTTTCAGCTTCGATCGAGATTTTCCTTTCTCCGTCGTAATCGCACGGTATAGCACAGTCATTGCCGCGTTCGCGAATTCTCCGTGAATTCTATTCGCGAATCCCCATCGGACAGTTCACCGTATTTATCTCGAGTCGCTTTCGATCGACTCGCCAGTGTTTCTAATATTCCCGGTTTCAATCGCATCGAGATTTCCCTTTCTCGATCTAATATTTCTGGTTTCAATCTCATCCCGATCTCCCTTTCTCGATCGTAATCGCACGATACAGCACCATCATTGCGTACGCGAATTCTCCATGAATTCTATTCGCGAATCCCCATCGGACAGTTCACCATATGTATCTCGACTCGCTTTTGCTGCACGCCTAGCATTGAACCAACGACTCGCTGGAGTCTCTAATATTCCTGTTTTCAATCGCATCGCGATTTTCCCCCGATCGCGATCGTCCGTTTGCATGTCAGAGCGCGGCGTTATCGTTACGCGTGT